TTTTTTTTTTTTTTTTTAAGTTTCTTGAGACAGGGTTTCTCTATGTATCCGCCGTGGCTGTCCTGAAACTAGGCCTGTAGCCCAGGCTGGCCTCGAACTCACAGAGATTCACCTGCCTCTGCCTCCCAAGAGCTGGGATTACAAGTGTACGCCACCACCGCCCGGCTCATTTGTTTATTTATTCATTTATTTTGTTTTTTTGAGACAAGGTCTCTCTGTATAGTCTTGGTTGTCCTGGAACTCGCTCTGTAGACCAGGCTGCCTTGAACTCAGAGGACCTTGTGCCTCTGCCTCCCAAATGCTAGGTTTAAAGGTGTGAACCACCACTATCCAACTACTTTTTTATATTTGTGGGTATTTTGCCTACAAATACATCTGGGTACCATGTACATGCCTGGTGCCCACAGAGGCCAAAAGAGGGCACCAGATCCTCTGGAATTGGGGTTACAGATAGTTGTGAGCTGCCATGTGAGTGCTGGACCTCTGGGCGAGCAGCCAATGATTTTAACTGTGAGCCATCTCTCCAGCTCCTCCTGAGAATTTTTAATATGACTTTAGGTATACAAAATAAGTATACATTTGGGCATGGGACCCCATGCCTTTAATCCCAGCACTGGGGAGGCAGAGACAGGCGGATCTCTGTTGAGTTCCAGGCCAGCCTGGTCTACAGAGTGAGTTCTAGGACTGCCAGGGCTACATAGAGAAACCCTACCTTGGAAAAAAAAAAAGGAAGAAAGAAAGAAAGATAGAAGACAGACAGACTAATAGTAATGAGATGAATGTACTTTTTTACTTTTACATAAAGAAATCTCAGCTGGGGGGCTGGAAAGATGGCTCAGTGGTTAAGAACACTCACTGCTCTTCCAGAGGTTCTGAGTTCAATTCCCTGCACCCACATGGTGGCTCACAACTCCAGTTCCAGAGGACCTGACACCCTCACAGAGACATATGTGCAGGCAAGACACCAATGGACATAAAATAAAAATAAACAAATAAAAATAAATCTCAGCTGAGTATTTGGCACTTCTGGACACAGAATTTTTTTTTTTATTTTTTTTATTTTTTTTTATTTTTTATTTTTTTATTTTATTTTATTTTTTTTTTTTGGTTTTTCGAGACAGGGTTTCTCTGTGTAGCTTTGCGCCTTTCCTAGAGCTCACTTGGTAGCCCAGGATGGCCTCGAACTCACAGAGATCCGCCTGGCTCTGCCTCCCGAGTGCTGGGATTAAAGGCGTGCGCCACCAACGCCCGGCCAGAATTTTTTTTTTAGAATTGGTATGTTGATTGTTGAGAACACTACTTCAAATATATAGTATAAATAGCAAAAGTATGCATAGGGCCATTTCTGAGGTTATTGGAAATTCTATCCTAAAGCCAAGCCAAAAATCATTGAACAATTTATTAAAAAACTAAAGTCAGCAACTCAAACAGGTATTTAAGTAATCAAGCATTCCTATAGAGTCCAATCTACAGAGATGCTGATCTGATGCTTATGTGCTACAGGACGGCAGCAGACAAGAAGGAAAGGTCTTTGTTTTCCTTATTAAACCATCATGCCCCTGTGAGAGCAGAGAACTAAGTACATACAAGAAAGACAGTTTGCAATGTGTGATAGTCTCAATTCTGAGAACCTGAGCTGAGGTGTTTCAGGCTGGTGTTGGCTTGGGGAGGCAACCTCAGTGTTCCTTTCTGTCCCCAAAGTCTAGGGTGCAGGAAGTGGCACGGCTCAGCCTTTCCAGTTCTCCCTGGGCTCTTTTCCCTACAGACCTGGCAGCTTCAATGGCCATGGCTACCACCTCTTCCAGGCCATGCGGTTCAGCATTGAGGAGATAAATAATTCCACAGCCTTGCTTCCCAACATCTCCCTGGGATATGAGCTGTATGATGT